ACTTATTGACCATTTAATTTGACAATTTACGTTTCAATGCAATACTTTAATGATGATTATTGAGTTCCTAGGAATGTCTGAAGCTTAATCTAGCTAAAATTTTTATTTTATTTTGAATTTCTAAATTTTTTACTTGAGATTATATTTAATTTATGTTGTAAAATTCAGATTAGAATTTTTTATCCGTTTGTTTTTTTTTTTGCCCAAATTTTATTTCATTAATAATTTGATAAGCAGAATAGCGATCTGAAAGAAACCGAGCTAAAGGAAAATAAACTTTCTCAACATAAAATAATGCTGTCTTCTAATTCTTAGTACTCCCTGCTATTACTCCCTATAATTTCACCTACATAATACTACTACTACTACTACTAATACTACTACTCTAATATTTCAGGCTTATTTTCTTACACCTGCTTATTTAATATGAATTTTTTATTTTTTTCTCTCGACCAATCATCAAATATCTTTTCTCACATTTCTCTCTCGGCAAGTCTTCAACAATTATCAACTGAACTACAAATCAGGAGACTATGGATCTGCATAGACTCAAGTCGATTTGATGAATGTCAATTCATCAGTCGGCACTGACAGAATGATAGATTGACTCTCTGGCCATATATCTTTAGCTATTTATATTGCCACGAATCTTTATCTGAGATTTCGCAACTTGCAACTCGACGCAGCTTTTTTATTTCATTTATTTATTTTTTTTATTTTTTTTTTTGCTGTGTGAAATTTCTTGGCAAAGCATTTTGTAAATGTATCTGTATCTGTATCTTTAGCCCGTCGCTTGTATCTGTATCTTTTGGTTGTGTCGCCGCACTTTTCTTGTTTTATTTCATTTTTATTTTTTGTTGCTGACCATTTGATCAACTGTGAGTGCAAATCTTTTTTAGCTCGATGCAAAACTTATTTGTGATTTGCTTGCCGCAACGATGGGCGCTGACGCGTCTATCTGTCTGTCCGTCTATCCGTCCGGTCTGTCGGTATAGTCCCTAGCGAATAGTTCGTGGGTAATTCATCTTCATTTCGTTGCGGTTCGAGTTGAAATGCGCCGTGGTATGCAGCCGCACGGCTATTTTCAAATCGTTCGCGCCGTTGTGCCAGAAATGTTTCAAATGCTTTTTCTGAAAGAAAGAAAAAGCAAATCGAAACTAAACTAAAATACGAATAGAACTATTCGTTTCACAAGAGAGACGGAGAGAGAGAGAGAGAGAGTGGAGGAAAAAACAAAATAAATTAAAATTTGAAATCATTTTCCACTTATTTTTTTTCTGTTACTAGGTTGCCATGCACTTAAGCCTAAACCCGGCCAGGCATACATCCATCAATCATTTCACTTACAGCCTCCACTTTGTGATGCTCTGCTTTTTTTGTCTCTCCCTCTCTCACTCTCTCTCTCCCTCTCTCTCTGGTTTGGTTTTTGTTGTTGTAATTTAATCAACAGTTTCCAGTGTCGTCGGCTCTTCCTTGCGGGTGGGCGTTGAATATATGATCTTTATTATTATTAAAGGCAAATTTGACAGAAAACAAATGTTTTTGTAGTCTCTCTCTCTCGCCTTGAGGTTTTCCTCGCATACAAATTGTGCGTCAAAGCTGTTGAGATATTTCGTCGTCGTCGTCGCCGTTGTCTCCTGTTATTTTTTTCGTTTCCTCATTCGTTTTCTTCTTTGGTTGGTGTTTTTGATTGAAAACCCTCACAAGCTGCTAGGCTGCTTGTTGGATTATGTTACAAGGTAAATACACAATTTTGTCGGCACTTGAGGCCACTGTGGGAAAAGGCAATAGATAATGTGTGGAAATATTGAGAATTGCTAATGATAGTTCGTTCTGCTGTGCGGCACATGATAAACTCTTTGTACTTCAGATATTTGAAGGGGTTTCGCCTTAAGACTGATGTTGTTAACCCTGTGAGATCAGTGGAAAACTTGAAACTTGAGAAAGTCCTGGGGAAACGACAACTGCAACTGCATCCAAATTTATAGCAAAACTCAAGCAAGGAACTTATCCAAATACTTTCGCACCTTCTCATTATATATGTATATATAGAGCTGTCATAGCTGTCACGATGTCAATCACTTAAGCAATTTATAGCCAGCTCGTGACCTTAAGATAGCCTGCCCCCACCTGCAGAGTGTCAATTGTCGCTCGTCAACCCTTTGGGTGCTATGTATGCGTCACTGCTGCAGCCAACAGGCAACAGCGATCCATTAACCTAATTGTAAAACCCGGCTAAAAACGAGAGAAAAAAACACAAAACAAAAACAAAGCTCAAGTCAGAGATACTTAACTGCGGCAGATAAAAATAAAATGAGGAAAGGGTTAAGTGTGAGCGACTCGAGTTGTGGCGGGAATGTTGTGAAAAATGCAGCAAATTAAATTATATATATAATAAAACCGTAAACAGAGAAAAGACACGTGAAAGTGCGGCAGCAAAATTCGCAACAACAGCAGCAGTCGCAGCCGCAGCCGCAGTAGCAGCAAAATGGTGTGGGAAAGTTAATCATGGCAAACGCTAATTAGTTAATGAATTGCAGCTCAAGGAGACAGACACACACAGCGAAAGTTATGCAAGAATTGCAAAAGAGAAATGAAGTCAATTAGAGTGAAGACACAGAGAAAGAGAGAGAGAGAGAGAGCTATGATAAGAGTAATATAGAAAGATATATAGAGGGAGGAAGTGAGAGATGTAGGATTCCGAGAGAGGGAGAGAGAGAGAGAGAGAGAGAGAGAGAGAGAGAGAGAGAGAGAGAGAGAGAAAGAGAGAGCGTGCAAGATATGGTTATCAGGGGGAAATAAGGAGAGGGAGAGAAATCAGATACAAAGACAGAGAGAGATAGAAAGGGAGGGATAGCAACAAGAAATTCAGAGATGATAATAAATATGAAATGAATATAGACTTATTAAAGAGTTATTATTTATTATATATGACATCAGATTTCACTATTTTAAAATCCTATATTTTTCAAACATTTCTCAACCCTTTAATATAATTTGTACATTTTCCTTCAATGATATTTTGACTAAAGCTTTTTTGGCTTAAAATTTTAAATGTGTCTTTTGAAAGACTAAAAAGAAGTTAGTTATTAATAGTCTGATGCATATATAAATTTATAGACCAAGTCCGTCTCCAATTAATAGTAAATGGGATATGTTCAAGATCGAATGAGCTTTCCTTCATTTGTCATGCAAATATTTGTGCATTACATTTTTTGTAATTTTTCTTAAATTTCCACCTTGAACAGCTACAGAGTATCACTGAGTATATCATATTTCACTTAACAAAATAAATGAATATTATCTTTAAATTACAGAATATACATAGCTATTAGTAATTCTAAAAGCATTGACATACTTGCAAAAATATGTATCAGATCTCTATCATACACAATACTTAACTGTGCTAATATATAATATTTTATTATGGATCAGGTTCTTTGTAGTGCCGTTCCATTTAAAATTTTCTCTAATCTTCTCTTCACACATAAAAATATGGCATTCTACATTTATTTCTTATCTCTCTTCCATATACAAATTTTTCTCTGATTGTAACTCGTTTATTGTACACAATACACAAGTTCAGATACTGATTAATAGTTATAGAGTATGCAAATATTCCAAATATACATGTTTCGATGCGTTATCATCATTTCCTGGCATATGACCTACTTAATTAGCGCAAATATCGGCGCATGTCTGGCATTTTGATGTCAAGTCTATGAGGCTAAAGCCAACTCCTGGCTGCTCCCCGCCCGCTAGCACCCACCTGTCTGTAATGTGCTGCCTCTCTCTCTCTCTCTCTCTCTCTCTCTCTCTCTCTGTCTTTCTCGTCATGCATGTGCAACAATATTTTTCTCACCTGAATGTGTGACGCCTTACCTGCCCCTCCGCAATCATCCGCTTGGCCTATCATGAGCGTTGATTGACATTTGAACGTGACATGAACATGTTTTACCTAAATTCCGCAATTATTTATAGAGCCCCTCGAAACAAATTATGCTAAGAGAATTTACCTACTTTTGTTGTTGTATTTTCTTTGTATTTGTTTTATTTTTTTAAGTATTTTGTTGACAGCGTCAATTATCGTGAAAACGTATGCAAAAAATATGAAGAAAACTTTGTATTATTTTGACTTGAATTTTTTTTTTTCGCATTAAACGAACGTCATTAGAGCCAGGAAAAACGAGAAACTGAAAAATCAATTGCATTTTTGGGCTATTGGAAACGGTTGTGCACAACAATTTGACAGGCAGTTTGACATGTGGTCTGCCAGCTAATGGGCAAAGACTTTTAGTTAGTGCATTGATTTTTTAGCTATACAAACACAGAGAGAAAGAGAGCGGTGAAAAGGAAGAGGAGAGATACAGAAAGAAATGTATATTATGTTTAGCCAAAAATTTCAGCTTGTGAAAATATTTTCTTCTTTCAATCTCGAATGCTTCGATTTAGAATTCATTTAAAACAAACATTTTCAAACGTAAAATTTCGAATTTTTCACTAGATTTGCGACTTGCATTTCTTTGCATATATAGAGCTTTTTATACTCAATTATCAAGTATATAAAATCTAGAGATGGTGTCCTGTATACTGTGGTAAATAATACATTGAACAAATGAAGCGCTGTGAAATTTCTAACTAATTAAAAAATCATTTGTAGTGCTCGCGCCTATGTGGAACAGTTGAAAATTATTGGGAACAAATTGTATGAAATTATAAATAAGAATAATTTTGATAGTACGCTATTAAAGTCCTCGGTGTTTTTTGTTTTGGGTATCTTGCTGACTAGAGAATTCATAGAGCATAATACATTAATTTAGCTGCATCTTTGTGTTAGTTTCTTTTAAAATTTTGTAACTGTCCAAAATGATTTGTGTAAAGTAAAAATGTAAATGTAAAAATATGTAAATGTCTTTTTATTTAACAACTATAAACAAAAATACACCTGACAAATACGTTGATATCTGACTATATAAAAATATATATATTACTCTTTACAGTCCACACAAAATCAGAGTCAGCAGCAAGCACTACTGAACAAGTCAAACGACGACCTAAGGAGAAAGCGTCCTGAGACTACACGGCCAAATCACATTCTACTCTTCACTATCATAAATCCTTTCTATCCCATCACAGTTGTAAGTACACACCAAAATTATTATATACATATATAAAGATAACCATATATGTATATATATATATAGCTATATAGTTAGATAGATATACATATAGATGGATGTACATAAATTTTACTTTCATCCAATGAACTTCTTTCGCCTGCTTGTTATCATCTTTATTGTTGTTGCTTATTTTTGGCCAGAGCCTTAAATCGCACGATATTTTATATGCCCTGTAATCGAGTGTGCGACGTGAGAGTCTATATTAAATTGAAGGGGATTTAGTTGAAGTATATATCGGAAAATGCTGACCAAGCTTGGGGTTTAAGGGGTTTTATAACCGTGATACATATGCATACATATTTATATTGAGTATAAAAATCTGATATTAAATGGAAATGTAAATTATAGTAAATTATGTTTTGTCATATTATATATTTGATTTTTTTTTTTAATTTTAATATTTT